TTTAAAAATTGTCAAAGTTGAAATTTATAATAAAAACATAATAAGTGGACTCAAACTTTTGGAAGCAACTGTATATATATATATATATACTGTATATTTTTTTTTTGGCGATAAAATTCGTGATTATCCTGTCGACATCTCACGTGATTCTGTAAAGGAGTCGTAATTATCGCGTGATATCGTGCAAAGACTTTTTCCTGTATTAATTGATTTCTGAAGTGGCGGTGAGAGTGAAGTAGGCGAGGTGATGATGAGACTCCATAAGTTGGCACCATCATAATGCATACTACTCGTTAAACGAGATGTAGCCAATTTTACCCATGCGATGATTAGAAGCGGAGTGGTGAGAAAAAGGGATAATATTTAGTCGGCTTGATGCCTCGAAAATGTTCTAAAACGGATGCAAGAAGGCGTGTCGATCATTAACGCTACACTGAATTGGTGATCATTCACATGATATGTGCATAAATTACATGATCCCATTTCCGTTACCTCTCAAAAAAATGACGACGGATCATTCGGATTACGTTTTCGTTTTTACGGCAGCCGACGCAGGGAGCGCTAACCAAGGCACCTCATGGTATCAAAATTTCTTTCGACCGAATGGCACTGTTCACGGTAGCAATTACATGGCAACCGCGGATTCAACCAATGTTCGTTCCCTTTCAAATAATTATGACGTTCGACAAGCAACTTCCAACGCCGCACCACCGCCAAGTTATGAAGAAGCCATCGCCGATTCCGTAAATCCCTCTACATTCACGATAACACCGGTGGCCCAGTCTGTGAATGTGAGGCCGCCTGAACAAATTCTAGTTATTCCAAATGATGCGTCAAGAGGCGAAGGGATGCAAAACGACTATAGCGGAACGGAAACGGATAGGTCAAAGTTGCTTTCGAACGATGAAGTAAATCGTGATGAGGGTGGTACCTCATACAGTAGAGAAGCACCATTTCAGGTGCCCAGTGGTTATGAAACTTCGTCTCCGCCAGAATACACAATGTCGGACGCAAATTTTCACGTTTCAGATAGGGGAGTTACCTCCTCCGATCCAAAATTAAATAATGAAGCAGAATCTTTATATCGATTTTTCATTGCACATAACAACAAACCTCAAATGGCCGTATCAATTCATGGTGAAAATTTTTCCTTTAATCCGCCGTTTCCTTTCTACTTGATATTTACCGATACAAGGAATTTTTTTTTTTTTTTTGAAGGTTACCATAGCGAATGGCAAGATGAAACTTACACTTACGTAGATCAGAATGGAGATACTAAATTTGCAACTAGATCAAAACATGTGGAAGTTACGGACTTCAAATATACTTGTGATTTAACTGATTACATTTTTCCCAATGGGGAAGTGCATATAATAGATAAAGAGAATTGTAAAATGAATATCATGGATTTGTTAAAGGAATATGTAGAAAATAGAAATATCTTGAAGGAGATTGAAATGCGAAAGGTTTTGTCTTTAAAAGTTCAATATACTGTGCATGCATATTTTTATGCGCGATGCTTATTCACCAACGTTTCTTCTCGAATAGGTGGTGCTTTGGGATTATGAATCGCTAACAAAGGCGATTTCGTCAGCAATTCGAAGACAAGGTTATCGGAATGATATCCGTATAACTTATCCAATGCGTAATCACATAGTCTGCGTCCAATCAGATCATAAATTTGCTAGGCTCACGAGAAAATTTTGGTTTAAACTTTTGTGCTTTTTCACGTGCTTATGGATAATTTTCTTACCCGTATCATGGATATATAAAAAATCGTTCAAGAATTTGTTAAGGAGCGATTTTCAAATGAGCATTGATCCTAGGGATTGGTTTCAGCAAAATGTTGGGATGATTATAGCAAACGTAAGGTGGCTCTAGTAAGGGGAGGGTGGAGAAGGTGTGAAAGTGTGAAAGGGAGGAACATCTATTAAATGGTTTCTTTTTCGGTTATTTAAGAACAGCTTCGTTCATTGATGACATCATAAATTATTTATCACTCCATATGTTACAATCACTTTCTTATTTATCTTTCTTTACATTTTCATCGAGAATTATTTGTCTTGGATCGTATACTTTTGAAAGAAATAAGGAAGAAAAAAATAAATATCTTCGCAAGTTAAAAATCTTTCGGATATCCAAGAGATTTTACGAACTTGTTTTTTCGGATTCGGCAACTTTTTTCATTATTTCTAGCAATGCAGCGTTGTGCTCTCGTATCTTTGTTTTATCTTCAATTCTTTTTTTATGTTCCGGTGATAGTCTCTACAGTTGGTTTTGAAAAGGGAGTTTGTTGTCAGGATTAGAGGCAAACAAATAAAAAAATGACGAATCCGATCCAAGGTAAAAGGAAATACGTGCCGAATAATAATCTTCTTCGGTAGGTGTGCTCAACTTCATCAGCGTATATCCAAATCCAACAATTAATCCGCCCGAAATCAATGCTTTAGCGTATATTTGACCTCTTGACATTTTGTTCCCAAAAAAAAAAATGAGAAATGAATATGCGATCTGACGTATGCACGATGTGCACAGGGTATATTTAAAAACAATAATAAATAAGTAGAATACTAATACACATAAAGTTAAATCAATTAAAATAAAATTTAAAACATGACGTTCATTATTTTATTTTTAGTCTGCAATCGTTAGTCTTTATTGAAGAAACAACCAACTCATTTTTATAGAACGAACCTAATATAAACTTTTCTTTTCTATTATTATAATATCATTAAGGCACGCGATTGAAACCAATTCACCTTTATTAAAATTTTTATAACAGTTTACTTCAAAAAAAAATTAATAATAATAAATTATTAATAGATTTTTATACAAATATTGTTTTTATATATAATCAAAGAATTAGTACAGTATTATTATCATTATTATTTTAAAACTACACAAATATGCACATAATTTATTAAAAAACTTTCTATATATTATATATTGCTATATACAGTATATATAGATTAACAATATATTATAATTGATCTACTGTAAATAAGCCTACTACTATTTTCATGAGTAGGCATACTTATCTAATAATCAAATAAATATATAATCATATATAATTTATCTTAAGCTAATAAGAAATTAACTAATTTAAAATACAAAATACTTTTTACTTGAATCTTAAAAAAAATTTTTTTTTTCTTTATTATCACTTGCAATATTACAAATAAATCTTAATTAATGAATCTTTCAATTAAATAAATACTGAATTGAAATATTTTAAGTTGGATAATTAAATTTTTTTAAAGATTATTAAAACAAAGAAATTATAAATTTTTGTTTTAAATTAGATTAAAAACCTTTCTTTATATAATCTTTTTGATAATATAATTATAATTTCAATCCTTAATTAATAAAAAGTTATAAGTTATATCTTTATGTAGCTTAACTTTATTTATTTAATAAACATTCTAATTTATCAATTAGTCCATTATCAAAAAATATTCAATAAGGATATAAATTTATGAATAATATAAAACAATTACATTTAGATTATTTTAAAACTTGTGTATTATCTTATAATAATGTAGAATACTTTTTGTATCATTGGTTTATTATTAATTGTATTAAAAATATTTTGAAGGTCCCTAACATTATTCAAGATTTTGCAAAGGATTTTGAAATTCTTTATCAAGATAATCCAGTAATTAAATTATTTTAAATATTTAATTTTATTTTACTTATTAATTATTTTATTTATAAAATGGTAGAGAAAGAATTTACAAAGAACAAAATAATTGTGACTGGTGAAGGGTTGCAGAGAATTCTATTTCGCCAGGCTCTAAATTACTTTCAATTATCTTATAATCAGATGCAACTAATTGTGATACTTTGGAAAAAAGTTTGTTACATCCAATATATATTTCATTAGGAAATATATCAACTTGGAGATGCAATAAACCAGATGCAAAACAGTTGTTAGGATATTTACCAATAATTAAATCGGCAAATATAATAGAAAAACAATCACCAAATTTTAAAAAACTTATATATGAAACCTTTCACAAATCTCTAGAGATCTTACTTGAGCTATTAATGTCAATAAAAAATGGAATAGATCTTTCGATTGGAGGTAAAATTTATTGATTTTTTCCAAAAATATCCATAATTATAGCTGACTGGCCTGAAGCTGTGTTTTTTTGTTTAACATATACTGTAAATCAAGTAATTCAAATAATCCCTGTTACTTTTGCTTAGTTACAAAAGAGAATCTTGCAGAAATAAATTTATCAAATAATAATATAATATCCCAGAGTCATGAAAATATAAAAAAAATATTTTAATCAAATTTAACAAAATCAGTATCATTAGAAAATATTAATAATTTTTTTTGGAGAATTCTGTAAGTTATTATAATTATATATAATTTATTTATTATAGACAAA